TGTTACGAAGAGTAAATACACAGTGGAAGCGTTTTAGTTGGTCTATCTTTTATTTGTCTCGTATGCGCCATTAAATAGTCTATTTTACGTCTCATGGGACCCGACGCGTAAATTCCAGATATTATATAACACATTATATAATCATATACAACACGTGGCAGGACTTTTCATCGCCAAGAAGCATGTTTTCAAAAATCCTGTGCCTGGTGGTTGCGGAGGAGGGACAGTTCTCTTTGTAAGTAAATGTTTAGAGTATGCCTTCAAATAAATCCAATATTTTTTCGCAGTAATAACTGATGAAGTCTGCTCTTTTTTGTCAGGTTACACGCGACACGCATTTGTATCTCAAAGACATCGAGGCGAGGGAAGAGGGAGGCACTCCAGCCATTGTCGAATCAATAAGAGCAGGAATGGTGTTTCAAATCAAACAGGTGTTGTATCAAACATCATTGAAATGTCCCTATGACGTCATGCGGTTTTCGGCGAAGTGCACCATGGGATTGATGAAAGAATAAAGTGAAGACATGTGATGTGTCTGTTAGAGCGCATTTCGTAGACGATACTTTCGCGCTGTGACCGTACCGTGCTGTAACGGTGATGTATTGTTAAAGGGACATGTTCCACCAGCATCCCTTTCGAGCTTTTGTTTATGTTTGAAAATAGAAATACATCGTAATATAAGCAAAAACTTACTCTTTATCATTCCTTTTTCCTATATGAATGAAGATGCTTTAAGATTCGACCGTTATGGATGGAAACGGATTGCAAATGGATATTCGAAGTCACCTCATTTTCCATATATGAAAAATCTAAAACACGACCGCATTGCATGCTAGTGGACCATGTCCCTTTAAAATCTTTATTTTTATTTGGAATCCTAGAAGGCGAGGTTCCGTGACCGTGCCGTGTCCGTGTCCGTGTTGTGATCATTCCCGTTGCACAGTCATACGAAATCCGCTCTATCTGACTGTACATGTTATGAGAACAACAAGGGTGGACTTGTGTAAATACATCTTAAAGGGTCCGTGCAGGTCCTTAAATCCTTGAAAAGTGCTTGAATTGAAAACTCGTTTTCAAGGGCACTTGAAACTCCTTGAAAATTTGAAAATTTCGACCAAGTCCTTGAAAACTCCTTGAAAAAGATAGATCTCTATCACAAAGCGCTAGCGATCTCGGAATTATTCAGTTCGGCTGAAGTTGTGAGGTAAGAAATATGTACAATTAGCATGATTTTGATGTTCCTTGAAAATACAATTTTGGTCCTTGAAAAGTCCTTAAATTTCGTTTTTGGTACTCTGCACGGACCTTGACTCTTATTTAATGTTCATCTAGAGTATTCTTAGAAATATTTTCGAAGAACCTTGGTCGTCCTTTTTTCAAGATAGCCGCCATGTTGATACTTTCATCAGTGCCATATTGCACTGCACCAAAACAGATATGGCTGTCAAACCCAATGATTACGTACTATATTTCTTAAATATGCAGAGCGTTGGTAGTAAACTCATTGAGGAGAGAGAAGAAGAGCTTTGCCAGTAAGTTGTTGGGCCTGGGACGAAAGTCAAACTTGGTGATGTAATAAGAAATCTTTTAATTTGTTGACGTCACCATAAAATGGCCGCCGGGACGTCTCCTGAAAGCAGCAATTTAGCTTCTCAGTTGGTATCTAGTGTTTTTTTCCTTGATAATAGGAACTTTTGGTAACAGAAAATGCTCGAGCATCATTTCCATTCTCGTAACCGATTCTAACTCTTATTTTAAGGAAAGCTTT